AGTAGGTTGTTTAACTCAGTTAGAGGCTGTCTGCAGGCTAGCGGCTTTCCTGTGATAAATCCTGTTGAAATGCAGTAGGTTTTATTTTGTGCAGAATGAGCAGGCTGCCATGACAACTGTCTGTGAATATTACTTCAATATTAGTCACAGGTTTCCAGGGTCAGCCTCCGGGTCCAACGTTCATTCTAAAACCCAGATGCACATCTATTCTTAAAGGAGTTCTCCTGGACATGTTTACAAAAAACAAAAATAAAATACCGTCAAGTGGCTGAGTTTTTCTTTTGGAAAAGAAATATGAATGACTCTACATGATTGCAAATTGTAGATTTTGTTGCTGTTCTTTTCTTTTGGAAAGGCGATGTGGCTCTGAATTTGCATTGTGCTCAACCATAGATTTGATTAACCAGATGTACTAGGCAAGAGTTTGGAAAGGTTCTTTTCAGTCTGTAACCCTTATGTTAAATTATTCTTTTTCTTTCTCCCTGCCCCCCCCCGCCCCCCATTTAATAGTATCAGAAGGAATCTCGTGGTGGCAAGTGATGAGGACTGAATCCAAAGCAAGTTAGCAAAACCAGTCTCAAATGAATCTGACTTGAAAGTTCCACAGGTAACATTTCACGTAGAGATTACTATGGAGGGTTCCCACCATGTTTCCCTGCCCTCCCTTCTCTTCTCTGTGGCCTCCTTGTACCCCTCCTACCGGCTCTTGTCATGGTGACAGCCTTGCTCAGAGCACCACAGCTGGGGTGGGACAGTGAGTCTGTGTCCCAGCACTCTCTCAGGGAGCCCCGAGATTCACTTCTCCTGCCGCCCTTAAGCTACATGCCCACCCAGACACTCCCCTTCGCCAAGAAAAAGGGCTGTGCTCGCTGCCTTGGGCCTGAGTTATGGGCCCATCCCTTGACAATCACTGTTGTTTGGGAAGTGGGCTCATGCCAATTTGCTTAAGCCAGTCAGGGCCTATACTTAGAGTGGGGGGTCACATCAACCCCATGCAAACCGCAGAGCTAATAGGGAGAGGTTGATTTCAAAAAGGAAAATTGGGGTGCTATTACAAGGAAGTAAGGGGAATACTTGCTAGCCATCTAGTCAAGGAACAGAACGCTGAGCTAGTAATAATAACAACAACAATAGCAGCTAACACTTACTGAATACTAATGATGAGCTAGGTGCTACCCAAACTGCATTATAGGTATACTGTTTTAGAGAATGTGTCTGGCTGCATGTAATCAGGTGAATGAAATAGCAAGGACTTGACACAGAGGGGTTGGTTTCTATCCCGTGTCCCATGAAGTCGGGAAAGCAGCAGCTTCACGGTATCATCTATGTCTCCGGCTCATCTTTCAGCCTTTCTGCATTATCATTCTCAGCATGAGGCCTCTTCTTAATGCTCACAAGAAGGCTGCTCCTCCTCGGGACCCTGTGGGGGGGGGGGGAGTGCAAAGAGGAAAGGGCTCACACTAGTTGAGTCTCATCCTTTTTAAATCAGGAAAATAGCTTTTCCGGGAGCCTCAGCCAGTAGATTTCTGCTTACATCTTGTCCAGAGCTGTGTCACATGACCACCCCTGACTGCAAGGGAACCTAGCAAATCAGATTTTGTGGGCTCAGCCCATTGCCACCTAGAACAAAAATGAAGTTTTATTGGCAAGGAAGAAAGGGAGAGTGCATATTGGTTCGGTGGCTAACTAGGCGGCCATGATGTATATTAAATCATTTATTGCTTACTTTAACTCGGTGTGGTGGTACTATTACTATCCCAGTTTTCTAAGAAACTGGCAGAGAGAGGTAGTGTAATTTTCCCAAGTTCACACACAACTGTTAAGTGGCAGGGCTGATATTTCTGTGAAATAACAAGAACTTACTCCTGGTTCCCTTTCCTAATCCTTCTACTCTTCCATGCATGGAAGACTTCATTTTTAATTTTTTAAAAATGGCAATAATTGGGGGCGCCTGGGTGGCTTAGTCGGTTAAGCGTCCGACTTTCGCTTAGGTCATGATCTCGCAGTTCGTGGGTTCGGGCCCCGCGTCGGGCTCTGTGCTGACTGCCAGCTCGGAGCCTGGAGCCTGTTTCAGTCTGTGACTCCCTCTCTCTCTGACCCTCCCCTGCTCACGCTGTCTCTCTCTCTCTCTCCTAGAAATAAATAAAACATTAAAAAAAAATGGCAATAATTGGCTCTAGGCCCTATATTAATTTCACAACCTTCTCAGGAAGAACAGTCCATAGAAATCTTGGATCTCTCACCAACTTGTTTTTCATACTGTCCTTTTCACATAGCCACACCAGCAGGAACATGAAATAGCAAGGGAGATTAGCAGGAATTGTATTTGGTAGTAAGAAACACACCGAAAAGGGAGGTATTAGGGAGGAAAAATTTTTATATACCCCTCAAAGCTCTTCCTTCTGGTCTAAGAATTGAATTGACGTGAAACAGACTAACAGGAGAAAATAACATGCAGGAAATCCACACAGACATGAGATCCCAAAGACAGGCACGATAAGGTATATAATGTATGTCATCCTGAACCAAGGAGTAGGGGGTAGGGAGCTGGGAATTCAAAGGGAAGGAAAACAATTCACAGGAAGATGAAAAAGAAGAAAATGATGGGTAAAGAAGTGTTTGCTGGGGCGCCTGGGTGGCTTAGTCGGTTAAGCGTCCGACTTTCGCTTAGGTCATGATCTCGCGGTTCGTGGGTTCGAGCCCCGCGTCGGGCCCTGTGCTGACTGCCAGCTCAGAGCCTGGAGCCTGTTTCAGTCTGTGACTCCCTCTCTCTCTGACCCTCCCCTGCTCACGCTGTCTCTCTCTCTCTCTCTCCTAGAAATAAATAAAACATTTAAAAAAAAAAAAAAAAAGAAGTGTTTGCTGGGCCGCTCTGAAACAATGGGACACAGAGAGGAATTTGATCAAACAGGTCTTGCTAGGTTCCTTCATGTCTACCATACCTCGTTCATATCATAATATACCTAGTTCATATTAGCATATAGTTACTATGGCAATAACCCTCTTCCTGGAGCAGGTCCTCTGTCTAAATTCGTTTTTGCAATTAGAGGGAAGGTCCAAGTTTCTTCCTGTATCTTTTTGGGCCTTGATTGTTTTTAGCTGGAAATAATCTGTGTGCCAAAGTGACACATTTTGGGGTGGCCTGCCTTTGGCCTTTGCAAAGGTTATTTTCATCTCATGTGATTGATATGAAATCCAGAGCTTCATTCAAAAATGAAAAGTGCACCTGTTAAAGTAAAAGAGCCATTACACATATAGGAATTTCCTGTCCTGAAGTTACATGAGGTTAATTTATATGACATTTCCTTAAAACTGCTTTGTAAATCAGACTTCTCACTAAGAATAACAATCCATCTCACTTGGGTAAATCAGTGAAATTTCACATTACTGGTACCTCAGTTTGCTCATGATTTTTATTTTTCTCATTTTTTCCAAGTATTTGAAATCTTTAGCTTATGGCCTTATTTTATTTATATATCACAACTTTTTTTTTATTTTGGTAATACCGCTGAATTGACCATAAGAACCATGAGAACATGGTAGAATGTAGTTTGACATTAAAAGTACGTGACATTAAAAGTTACGAAAGACTGGGGCGCCTAGGTGGCCCGGTCAGTTAAGCCTGGTCATGATCTCACAGTTCGTGGGTTCCAGCCCTGGGTCAGGCTCTCTGCTGACAGCTCAGAGCCTGCAGCCTGCTTTGGACTCTGTGTCTCCCTCTCTCTCTGCCCCTCCCCTGCTCATGCTCTGTCTGTCTGTCTTTCTCTCTAAAAATAAACAAACATTCAAAAATAAAAGTTATGAAAGAGTGGATTGAAAAAGAAAGAGAGATTTAAACAAATAAAAATCCTTCTGTGTTGTAGAACAGTGCCACTCAACGTATGCATCACTATCCCTTGGGAGCTTATTAGAAACTCAGATTCATGAGCCCCACTCCAGCCCTGTTGAATCAGAACCTCTAGGGGCTGGACCTGGGAATCTGCATTTTAACAAGATTCCCCAGGTGATGTATAAGCACATTAAAGTTGGAGAAGCACTGTCCGAGGGCTTTATGTAGATGAGACTCACAGATCTTGTACTCTTTGGAATACTGGTGAAAATGCTAACTTCAGGTTTGGTAAACTTAAGACCTACCTATATTAAACTCTAAATTGTGCTTTGAAAGTTCCTAAATCACAGACTTCAGTTATTTAGTCCAGGTCACTAGTCTTAACTCAAGTGTATGCTCAACTCCTTCCCCCAGCAACACCTTCACCTCATTAGTCAGTATTTGTCTTTTAGATGTCAGTTCAAAGCTTATTTTCTCTGATAAGCATTTGCTTGACCTCCTGACTCACTCTCACGATGCACGTACTTCTTTACAATTTCACACTTGTTTTTATGATAGTTTAATTAATGTTTACTTTCCCCACTAGGCTATAAATTCATGAGGGAAGGGACCTTATCAGTTCAGCTAACATATATCCTTGGGGTTTAGAACAGTGCCTGGCACACCATGGATGCTCAACAAATGTTTCTTGACTGAACATACAAATGAAACCAAGACAAGAATAAGTGCTCTTAAAGAAAATTCCCTAAAAACTTTTCTAAAGGCTTCACAGTGAACAGTTAGTCATCTCAGGCAATGGTAGCAAGGGTTTTGAAAAGAAAGCCATGGATCTTTTCCAGGCCTTGTTTTAGCTAATAGTTTCAATGTTCCTCCAAGAAACCAACCGTTCTTTGTTTTCCGTGTTCATGAGCGCAAAAACGGTTGACAAGGAGGCAAATGGTGGCAAAAAGAAAGCTTGAAGAACCTGGAACCCGTCTTCCCAATAAACAGGAAGTGGTCCTCTCATCCAGGTTGTGATTTTCACGTTCTGTTGGCAGGTAGTTATCTTTGCATCTGACATTGTGGGGTTGCCAGGGCAACCTATTAAAGAGTCATTCTAGAATCCACCTCTGGAAAATTCCAGGTGAGGCTGAGAAATTCTCTTTAAGTAAGACCTATAAGCGTGACAATGGATTGTGTCCTGAGCCTGCAGGTCAGGAGGAAAGATTCAGCGACCAACAAAGTGAAGATCTAGGAATCTGTTTTCCCTGAACCAGTGTAGAACTGATAAAACTTAGAGAGAAGGGTAAGAGCTCTTAATGGAGCAGATGAGTTGAATGAAATCTGGGTAGGCATGGAACGTGTGGTTGAAAGTTAACCTTCTTCCTCTGTTTGTTTAGCCAACTCTTGTAAACTTTATGTTTTGTGTATGGAGGTTGTCATACTTTAATATATATTTAACATACTTTAATATATAATTTATATTGGGGCTATCTTTATAGGGTAGAATTGGGTCACCTTGATGTAGGAGGAGTATTATTCACCAAATCGTAAGACTGTCATGTTGGGGAGGCCACCTAACCTCCTTGGGCCTTGTTTCCTGTCCAATAAAATGAAGGACCTTTCTGACCCATTCCAGAGGACCAGAGTATCTTACCACATCACAAGCTCGCATGTGACAGAGCTCTGGGCCACGAGCCTCATGATGCTCTTGCCAGGGGATAGCACTGTGTGCCTGGATCAGTTTTCCCCAATTCCTGGCGCTTTGATATGAAAGGGAGTTGCATAAATGTATATTCTAGTTTTATTTTTGTCTTGGAATGGCAGATTATAGCCCCTGCAGAAGGAAACTAAGGAGAAGTTAGAAATTGCCGTTACTCTGCCATTGACTCATGCTAGATGTCAGACAGATACATGCAGAACATAAGCACATCCAAGCTAAAGGAACAGATTGGGGCAATATTTAAAAATATCACAACTCTAAATAAGAAGCAGTTCTGATAAGCCTATTTGGCATTCATGCAAAACACCCCTAACTCTGAAAAATCTGAATTGTACATTGCCAAGGTAAATTACTTCTATTCAGTAATTATAGATAAAAGTATATTGGATTATATGATAATACCTGTCTCCCTTAGTTTACAGATATCCCTCTCTCCTGGGCCTCTTCCTTTCCAGATCGTTCCTTTTTTAGTTTCCTTTGTTCCTTCCTCCTCCTCCTCATTTCCTTTAAATGGGCTTCTGCTTTTACCCTTCTTGCCTTCTTTCTCTACAAGCTCTCCCTGGATGTTTCAGCCTCTCTAATAGCTTCGGTTGTTATCGATAACCTGACGACTTCTTAATGAGAATCTGTGGACCTGATTCATTTCCTGGGCTCTAAACTCAGGCTTCTGCTGCTGGTGGGACATTGGAACTGGTCATTTTTCTCCACCCCCCCTTTGTGTCGTACCCCTGTCCCCGTTACTACTCTACCACAGTTGATGGCATTGTCCACCAGACTGTGACAAGAGGGCAGAGACCGTGTCTGTCTTGCCCACCATTATACACCCAGCACTCAGTGTGATGCCTGGCATACGGTAGACACCCAATAAATATTGAATAAGTGATTAATGCATCTCTGTTTTCAGACTGGAAACCTTGGGATCATTCTTGATGCCTCCGCCTCCCTCACTTCCTATACCCAGCCTGTGACCTGTGGGATTTATTACCGGAAAAGCTTTCGCATTTGGACCCTCCTCTCCATCCCCACTGCCTCGGCTTTAATCCAGCCCGTTGCCTCTCCTGGGTTGTTGCAGGAGCTTCCTCGATGGTCTTCCTGCGGCTGGCTTTCCCCCAGTTCATCATCATCCTCCCCTCAGAGTGCTCTTCCTAAAAGCTTGGATCTGATCAGATTACCCTCAGGCTTCCCTTCACTTAAACCGCAGTCGGTCCGCCGCCCACTGAACCCATGGAGTCTGTACAGCATTTTGAGAAGATGAGAATCACTGCATTTCATTGATTCTAAGATGTACGTGTTTTTCGCACTTTAGCACCTCTGAGATTGGAATGTGTGTTAAAATCGACGGAGTGTCATGGTTTGATGGGTGGCTTTTTTCTCTCTTATTGGTACATAAAATAATGATGTACCTCATAATCGATGGCATCTTAAATTTACAGAAATAGACTCATTCTGACATTTAAAAATAGGGAGGTTTTACATAAAAATATGTTCAGCTTCTCTTGAAAAATTACATCGGGCAACACTGGGCCAGGATTTCTGGATGGCAGCCTAAGAGGGAGCTACCAGTAAGTAGCAGCTGCTTCATTTAGACAAAAAACTCTCTAGAATGTTCCATCACTTCCACCGAGGCTGTTTTATTCATTTATATTATCTGCCCCAGCTCATGCAAGCATTTGAAATTGTAATCCCTGACTGATGAGTGAAAATCTGAATTCTCTGTTATGATTGGCACCGAACTATGTCCCCACCCTCTGCTTTACACACCCTCCATCCCCCAGTCTCGGGAGGCATTACTCAAATATGACATGCTCCCATGTTCCCTGGACTGCCTTTTCCCATCTTTCAGGTTCTGTGAAGTATTTCCTCGCTTGCCCCGGCAGAACTAACATCCTTCTGGACTCCAGTGGTACGTGGGCATATCTCTGTACCTGCACCTGTCTTGAAATTATCTGTGGGCAGACCCGTGTCCCTCATTAAATTGTGAGCCAGGAAGGTAAATGGATCAGAATGTATTCATTTTTGTATCCCTGCTTCATAGCTAGAGCATGCTCAGTAAGTACCTGTTGAATGGAGAAGGGATGGGGTACGTTTTCTCAGTGGGATCTCTGTTTTTTGAGTTTTGCCCATGCATGGACAACTAAAAGTGAAGTCAGAGGGAAGGGCCACCGTTCTCCTTAGTGCTCGTAGTTCATAGTAGAAGACGCTGCTTCTGACTGTAATTTAGGGAGGCCATTGGCAAAGTCAGCCCATGGGGACTTTAATATCCTGCAGACCCTAAGGCACTAAGCCAGAGCCAGCTCTGAGGCTTTTTAAAAATTTTATTTTAAAATTCGTGTACCATAAAATCGACTGTACAGTTCTGTGAATAGATGAGTGTAACCACCACCCTTATCGGGATACAGAACATTGCTCCCCCAAAATTTCCTCTTGCCATCTGTTTGTACTCACCATGGCTTTGACTTTCTGAGAATGTCATAGAAAGGTTTTTTCTTTTAAGCTGGCTTCTTTTACTCAGCATAATGCCTTTGAGATTCATCCAGGTTGCGTGTGTCAGTAATCTGCTCCTTTTAACTGGTAACTTGTATTCCACTGTACAGATGCCCCACGGTTTCTGTATGCATTCATCTACCAAAGGACATTTGGGCTGTTTTCAGTATGCGACCATACAAGCCTGGTGGCACAGGCTTTTGTGTGAATATAAGCTTTCATTTCTCCAAAGTAAATACCCCTGGAGTAGGCTTATGGTGTCATACGGTGAGTGTGTGTTCAACTTCCTAAGAAACTACCAGACTATTTTCAGAGCAAATGTAGCATTTTGCATTTTCACTGGCAAAGCATGAGAGTCCTAGTTGCTCCACGTCCTAACCACTGCTGGGTATTACTAAATTAACTCTCCTGATAGGTGTGCAGTGGCTTTCATTTGAATTTCTGCCTCCTCAAATCTAGTCTAGGGGAACCACAGGGGAAAAATGGTGGACCCACCACTAGTTTTGTGGTACTTCAAATTCTGATCATCTTCCTCAACCTTCCTTCTGCGACTTGCTTTTCAGAGGCCTTGTGTTACTTCTTCATTGCTATGTAGCAAATCACCAAAAACTTGAGAAGCTTAAAATGCACATTTATGATCTCACAGTTTCTGTGGGTTATGAATCCAGGCGTGGCTTCCCTGGGTCCTCACAAGCTGCTGTAATCAAGGTGTTGCCTAGGCTCTAGTCATGGTAAGGCTTAAGTGAAGAAGGATCCACCTCCAAACTCAAGTGGTTGTTGGCAGAATTCAGTTTGTTGAGGCCTGACTCAGGGCCCCTGTTCCTCGCTGGCTTTTGGTAGAGACTTCTTCCAGTCTTGTGCATGTAGGCCTCTCCAACATGGCGACTTACTTCATCAAAAGTTCACAAGTCGTGAAGGCGATAGAGAGAGTTTGCTAGCAAGACAGAAAGTCACAATCTCTTATAACCTGGTCACAGAAGCAATATCCCAACACCTTTGCCGTATTTTGTTGATTAGAAGTCAGTCGCTAGATCCAGCCTTACACTGAAGGAGAGGGATTACACAAGAGCATGAATACTAGGAGACGGGGTTTATTGGGGGCCATCTTGCACAGCAGCCCTAGCTGCTCTGCGGGTTCTGCCCAGGTTTTTTATAGCTTCCTTCTGCGGGAGAGACAGGTAGAGAGGGTGGAGTGTCCTTATTCTGCCCAGACCGTGACTCTCTGTGAAGCTTTTTGATTTGATTTCTGAACATTCAGGGTTAATTTAAAGAGGTTTTTGTTTTGTTTTAAGATTTTATTTTTTTAAGTAATCTCTACACCCACCACGGGGCTCAAACTCACAACCCCAAGATCAAGCGTCACATGCTCTATCAACTGAGCCAGCCAGGCACCCCCATTTTTTGTTTTTAACTTAAGCCATCTCAAACCAAGCTAGTGTTAGATTAAGCGGTGGTCAACATTTAAATTCTCATCCTTACTAATCTTCTCTTTGTTAAATTACAACTGTGGAAAGCTCAACTTTTGTTGACCCAAGATGGAGCCTTTTCAAAGCTGAACTTGTAAACTTCAACACACAATGGCAGCTCTTTCAGCCTATCCTGTGGCTGCCGACCAGGTGACCCCAACAGCTACATCTGGCGAGCCCAGGCCTTTATGAATTTCTTTCCCTTGATAGTGAATTTTAAGCCACCTTTAATTTCTTTTAATGGCTTTCTAATGACTTGCCAAATCTGGCCTCTCTTTTCTCCTACTTAATGTGGCTTTTCAATACCCCAAATTCATCCCTGGAAATATGCTCAATCCTTTCTCTTTATTGAAAAGTAAAATTACTTGGTATTCCTTCCCTCTCTTTGAAGGGAAGTAGGCTCTTTCAATCAAGATCCTTTGAATGGTTTTGATCAGGAACCAGTCACAGTAGAAGCTTTTTGAGACTAGACCCCAATCCAGGCATCTGAAATTATCTGTAACTAATGCTACTGAACTCATATATTGTCTGCATTACCACACACACATGAAAGTAGGAGATTCAAAAAGAATTTTTAAGAAAGGTAAAAATATGAGTTCTAATATTTTGCTTTCTGCTGTCCAAAGGAGTGCTATTGGGTGTTGCGGTATCAGGGGCCATGAGTGGACAGACTCCTTAAGTACTCACCACCCAAGAGATCTGCACACGGTGTTGTTTTTTTATTTCTCAGTCTATTCCCAAATCCAGCTGCACTGTCTTGAGTCCAGCATATTCTCACTGTGCACCATGACCAATAATAGGAGCTGCTCATTAGAATAACTTCTCCTTGGTAGAAGATGGCAATGTAGCCAGCTTCAGGAGGCTTGCCTGCAACGCTCCATCTCTCCCTTGTGAGGTAATCAGCCCTCTCTGTTTCTCTCTTTCCGTAGCTTGCTGCCCCCATACACTAGCTGAGTGTCCTGGCTTGGGCTCCCTCAGAGGCAGACCCCGAGTCAAGCATTTGAGAGCAAGTTTATTTGAAAGGTGAAGGCAAACCCAATAGAGAAATGGGGAAGTGAGAAAGGAAGGAGAGACAGCCGAGAAAGAGTGAGTCCAGCCCGCAGAGGTGGGGAGGCTGCCAGTTTTCAGTCATAGCAGACGGGCACGTTTCTCTACCCACCTGTAAGTCTGGCTGCAGTATGAGGAACTCCATTCATTCTGATTTTTGTTTGCCTCTTCCATTTCACATCTTGTTAAGTACTGCAAGATAGGCGTATGTGCAAGGACACCCTCTTCTCTCCCTCACCTCTTTTCCTCTTGGTGAGCTTCTAACTTCTGGCTGCTCGATCATTAGGTCTCAGGCAGGACATCACTTCTTTTAGTTTTCTTTACTTTTTTTTTTTTTTTTTTTTTTTTTTTAACTGAGCTTTATGCCCAACATGAGGCTGGAATTCCCAACCCTGAGATCAAGAGTTAGACACTCTACTGACTGAGCCAGCCAGGCGCTCCAGCATCACTTCTTTTAGAAAGCCTTCCTTCTTCCCCCTTTCGGGGATAGGGCTCTTTCTCTGTGCCCCTCACCTGTCCTATTAGAGATCTTATCATACTGTTTTGTTTTCATTTATTTGCGTAATAAATATCTATTTTGTGGCCGGCATTGTTTTAGGTACCTGGTGTTTGTTTGTATTGCAATATGAGAGAAAGATTTTAATTTGTGATTTTATTTTAATGACTTATTTACCTGTGTATTTGTTCCACCGAATCACGTCCATTTTGTTCACCATTTACGTTCCCGTCCTTCACCACAGTGAGTGCCACACAGGCATGCTCAGTGATAATGTGTTGAATTGAATAGCACAAGCTATCTTAGTTGAGGATGACCTGGTATCACCATGGCCTTCTCCCCGGGGGAAGGTGAACTCACACCTTTCCTGTGGGCTGTTTTCCCAGGATGATGGGCCCACTGAGAGAGAAATTGACCTTGACTGTTGGGGGTATAAGTCTGTTAACGAGTGAATTTAAAAGTGTTACCATTACTTTGCCAATTATTTTTTCTGTTTTCAGCCTGGCAGAACACATCCCTGCTCAGCTGGAGGAAAGTCACAGAGCATCTGAGAAGAGGCTGGAACCTTCACTTTGCAAACACATAACGTGCTGACCGAGGGAGTATAGAGTAAGAATATCATAAGTAGGGGTTCAAGAATCTAAGTGCCTGGGTTCAAATCCCACCTCTGCCACTCATTTGCTGTTTGACTTGGGGCTACAGGAGTATAGAGTAAGGATATCATAAGTAGGGGTTCAAGAATCTAAGTGCCTGGGTTTAAATCCCACCTCTGCCACTCATCTGCTGTTTGACTTGGGGCTACAATTCCTAAAGTGTAAATAGGGATAATAGGATGGTGTGTGGATCAAATAGGATTAACACATGTGAAATCAACAGGTGTCTAGAACCTAGTACACGCTCAGTAAATGTTATTATCGTTTTTATTCACATATGTCAATGCTGGTTCATTCAACTGTGAAGGCTGGCTGGCTAGAAGATTCCTTGCTATGCTCCAAGTCCCATTTTTGTATTCTTTGTACCATGGAAAAATATGGTGAAATTCTTCATTTTAAGCATATTCCAAGTTTTAGATAGATCCCAGACAGGCTACAGCCAATGCAATTCATGGTCCAGAGGCCGGCCATTACAACAACCACCTACACCACAAGTTCTTCCCCTCTGTTCCTTTCTTTCTGTGATTAAATAAGTATCTGGTGGGCACCTCTTATGCATCAGGTGCTGGGAATGCTAACAGGAGTGAAATGGATCCTTTCCTCTCAGGATTGCGCATGTAAGAGGACAGATTATAGCACGCTTTGGGCAGCTCTGTGAGCGGGCATGCCCACAGCTTATAGAGCCAGAAGACGGGATGCCAAACTCCCCTTTGGTGATTTAGGAAAGGGCTTCATGTAGAGGAGGTGACATTTGAACAACTGTATGTAGACACAGCCATCATTTAATCACCGTGGACTGAAGAGGCATTTGGCCAGAAACGCAGTGGCCACGGAGCGACTTTGTCCACTCTTTTTTGAGAGCCTGGGTAATTATGCCATCACTTACAATGTGTATGGCAGCCTCATTAGGCCCTAGTCTTGGAGTCCCTACATGGCAACCTGGATGGTTGTAGTGCTTCACAATGGGGCCCTCTGATAATATTTAATATGCTAATAGGAGTACAGAAGCCCAGAGCTGCCTTTGCAGTTATTTTTAAAGTGACTCCATTAGATTAAGTAGTAAGCTTGGGTAAGCACTTTGCCGGCTCTCCTCTGGCTCTCGGTCGCAGAGAGGAGTTGGCTAACAGGCAGCCTGGGTGGGGCCATGAGATGATCTTGGCTGGAGTCCTTTAAATCCGAGCTCACGATACCCAAGGCCAGGAAGCTCCAGAGCATATGCTGTGTAACCAGCCAACAGGCAGAATTTGGGAGGAAAATTGCTGTGGGTGCAGCTGCAGTCGGCAGGAGACCCTGGGAGCCAGAATTCTCTGGATTGCCTCGAAAGCTGACAGAACTGCGGCTGGTGGCAGCCAGTACTGATATCGGCACCCGATTTTTCAGACGTGCCTTCGTCCTCTTCCTCTCAGCACACTCAGCAACATGACCTGTCAACTTTCAATTTCCTTTCTGCTGATGAAGGGAGGTGAATCTCCCTCTCACAGATAGGTTCTCCCTGAAGCAGCGAATCGAATAGCTAGAGGAATAAAATTGTCATGTAAATGAATTTGCAGCACAGCACACAAGGCCGCTGCCTTAAACCCATGCCTTTTCAGGCCCTGAGGAGGAACGCTTAGTGTTTCCACTTCTCTGAATCATACCCGCGTTATGGTGATGTTGCCTAAAAATCATCCTCAGTTGACCTGAAGAGCCACTGAATGCTTTTCTGCCCTTCTTTAAGATTCACTGTGTGTTTAGTATTGATGCAGATTATTTATGCAAACAGCGGCCTGGTCCTGCCTGTACAGAGCCTGGTCCCCTTGGAAGCACTCATGTGACCGCAGCCCATTACTTGAGTGTGTCCCTTTATCTCCTATAGGGCAGAGCTGGGGCAGGCAGCTGCGGTGCACCAGCCAACCCAGCCTCTCCGGGATCTGTGACTCGGAGCTCGCCTTCCAGGCTGAAAGGCAAAGCAGCCACGGCCTGTTTTCAGTTATTTCTTTGTATGTGTTTATGTGTATTTATTTCTTGGTTTATTTAAGCAAGAATTCTCCCTGCAGAGATGTGAGTTGTAGATTGTGTGAATGCACACGTGCTTGCATGTGTGTGTGTGTGCGCGCGCGCACGTGTGGGGGGGGGAGGGGGAGGATGCTCCAGAGAGAGCTGGGATTGTACCTCTTTTCCTTTAGATCTCTGCATCCCTCCTAGAGAAGGTTTCTTTCTTGTGTTTGTTTCTCTTGAAACACCCGGGGTGAGGAAAAACCTCTGCATTGGCCAAGCAGAAGAAAGAGGTAGGGCGTTTGTTTGTTCTTAGGTATTTTTTTTAAATGTTTTTTATTTATTTCTGAGAGAGAGAGAGACAGCGTGAGCAGAGGAGGGTCAGAAAGAGAGGGAGACACAGAATCTGAAGCAGGCTCCAGGCTCTGAACTGTCAGCACAGAGCCCGACACGGGACTCAAACCCATGAACCATGAGATCATGACCTGAGCCGAAGTCGGACACTTAACTGACTAAGCCACCCAGGCGCCCCTGTTCTTAACGTATTTTGAGCAAGCAGAAGTCCACGTTATAAACATATATTGTGTAGCAGTGGCACAGGGAACGCGCACTCCTTACAGTTTGCTTTGTTGTTTTGCAATCTCTCGGGATGATTTTTCTCAAAGATTTGGATTCCTAGTCAGCCGTCATCATCTTAAAAAGGTGTACAGATGACTTTGCAATTTGAAGGGTCTCGGCCTATTTCAAATGAACCCTGTACTTGGAAAAACTCTGTGGTCACTTGGGTGAGAACTAGAAATGAAGGAAGAGGTACTTTGAGCCACCCTTCCAGCCCCTTCATGGGGGCAGTCCCCAAGCCCTGCTGCACAAGTTCATGCTCAGAAATCTTCCTTTAACTCCGTTGGCCTCTTACCATCTTCAACGATCACAGGGTTTCCATCTCTCTGCAAGAAAGGGAAGCAGAATTCCTTGCACTGTTCGAGAATTCTATTTAGTGCTTACATGGTTTCAGTTCTTCATCTGTAATATGGGAGTGATGATACCACCTTAAAAGTTGCTGTGAAGATTAACTGGAATAATAGAAATATAAAGCACCCGCTGTGCTGGGTAAATAGCAGTCCCTTAATACACAGCACTGATTTTTAGCTCTTACTGTTACTATTACCGGCATCGCATTCTTTCGGATCTTTGTGCTCTCTGAGGGGAAAAAAAGTCCACTTCTTATGAATCCACAGTTATCCCAGAAGGAGTAGATGCCCCAGGATTTTAGTCCCTGGGAGGTCCCAGACCAAGCGTTATGAAGGAAGAGATTTGAGCAAACAGTCTCGCTTCAGCACTCCTACCAGCGTGGGCACCAACCGTGCCTGGGCCACCCTAACTCACTAGCCAAGAAGAATTGATCTTTGTTCCAGCTGTCTTTTTCCACCACTGAGCTCCTCAGTACTCCTCAGTACAGGCCTGTTAGGTAAGCATTATTGTTCCTATGATGGGAAAACTGAGGTGCAGAGGAATTATTGACTAGCTGAGAAGAATTTAAGCTCCAGTTTGTTTGACTTCTTCTTTTTTAAAAAAATTAATATTCATTCAGTCATTCATTTATTTAAAGTAGGCCCCATACCCACTGTAGGGCTTCAACTCATGACCCTGAGATTAAGAGTCTCATGCTCCGGGCACCTGGGTGGCTCAGTCAGTTGAGAATCTGACTCTGGATTTCCACTCAGGTCATGATCTCACGGTTCGTGAGATCCAGCTCCATGTCAGCTGTGCACTGATGGTACGGACGGAGCCTGCCATCATTGGGTAGCTAGGAACAAGCAGTTAGGAACAATAGATGCTCTTGAGATGCTTTACTTCAAAAGGGTCCCCTGCTAGGCTCTTTGGAACATAGTGGACACTCTGGCTCTTTCTTAGAGATTCCTCTTAGAGCTGCACATTAACATGCTGAAGGCTCTGAGGAATCCTGCAGTCAAGAAATCTGTCTTATTTGATTGTGCGACCCTTTTTTGTCTTATTCCTGGAATCCTAAAGCACAGAGAACTAGTCTTCCACAAACAGAGTTTGGAAAACCTGGCGCCAGGCCAAGCTGCCGCTCGCTTACCATCCTGTAGGATACAGTAACAGATTCCTTCCAACACCTTCTGGTGGTCAGTGTAGTTTGCTCCCTCTTCTTATCCTTTCATCTGATGAGAGCCAGGAAGAGTCACGAGGTTGGTCTCACAGACTATCCTGTATTCATGTAAGAGCCCAGACACAAGAAAACACTAGAGTGTTCTATTGGAAAGGTTGTGGTGGAAGGGGCCTCTCTAGGGACTGCCAAGGACTCCTCTACCCCACTCTCTGCCCCTTGGTTATATTTAGGCCACAGACATCAGGCTACAGAACCCTTGTGGGTTTCTTTTTTTCCTATTTATTTAATGTTTTATTTATTTCTGAGAGAGAGAGAGAGACAGCATGAGCAGGGGAGGGTCAGAGAGAGAGGGAGACACAGAATCCGAAGCAGGCTCCAGGCTCTGAGCTAGCTGTCAGCACAGAGCCCGACGTGGGGCTTGAACCCATGAACTGCGAGATCATGACCTGAGCCGAAGTTGGATGCTTAACCGACTGAGTCCCCCAGGCGCCCCCAGAACCCTTGTTTTGATGAATACCGAAGAGAATGTGTGGCTTAAGAGGCATCTGTCCTTCGTACTCACGTGTCCAGAGTCCCAGGGGGAAGAATTAGACCTGCTAACTTAACTCCCACTTTGGGGGCAGGGTGTGGTGCCGGTTGAATGACTATGGCTTCTGGATTTGGGTTCCTCAGGGCTAGAACTAGAGTAGGAATTTCTCGTAAAAGGCAGCATCTCTGAGAAAGGCTGAGTTTTTTAGCATGGGTAACCACACCACTCAAATCTAGAATGCCAGAGGCAGAATCAAGGTCCAGGTGGCTGAGCTGAGGTGTGGGAGTTCAATAAGAATGCACTTTGTAATAAAATAAAATTCAGGATGAATAAGAACCATTTGGAGAAGCTGGGCTAGCACTTGGAGGGTGCTTAATGGCCGGGGTTAGGTTGGCTCCAAGGGCCATCTTTTGTTGTTGTCTTGTATTTTCACGTTGGGAAGTGAAAAGTGTTTAGGATGAAGAGATCCGGACCTCAAACAGTTCTGCCCTTCAGTTACCCGGCTGCCCCCACGCACAGTAAAAGCCTTTTAGCAGAAGCCTTAGGAGCCTTTTCTTTCGCAGATTATAAGTGAGCGCCAATGATGAGTCACTATTTCATGTTTGTGCTTTAAAACCATTTTGGTATATAGATATTGATAGGGGCAGTCCCACCGGGCAGGCCTCAAGCTGGTTTTTGATTTTTGTTTTTTGTTTTGTTTTGTTTTTTTGTTTTTTGCCAAGATCTACCTTTTCAGTGGCACGTGTCCCTGACTATGGCATTCCCGGGTCTTTGTGAATGCTCCAGAAATTCCCCACCGCCTGAGCCAGAGGACCCCTTTCAGGCCCTAGGGAATAATCATTTCTCCAGAGACTTCTTTAGCACACTAGATGCTTTTCTAATGCTGACAGAGGGCCAGAAATGGAAGAAGCTTAGATTTTTCTCAAATAATGGAAAATCCCCAAATCATTTTTATCAGCTTTACAGCCAGCTAGAGATGTCCTCAAAGGTACACACGCTGCTTAAAGAATTGTTTTCCTCTCTGCCTTTAAGTGGATGATGGCAGTGTAGTTGGGGCAGTGTGTGGGAGTATTAAGTGGCACCTGGCCTTGCCCTGGTCTTGTTTTGGTGAGTATTGAAATGAGCTTTTTTGTTTGTTTGTTTTACCTGTTACGTGAAGGAGAAAAACAGTTTAAGAACAACTTACTTAGTAATTGTTATTTAATAACGTAAAAATTCTAACGGCAAGTTGTTTCCTAATAACCAGAGAATTCTAGAACAAGTCTCATTTTTTTCTCCATCATGATTTTAAAATCTTCTTTAAAAATGAATGCCTAAGTACTACCCATCTTCTGGTTTAATAAAAGGCTTTTATATATTCAAATAGCACGGATCTGCACCAAATCACAGACTTATAATGACTTTTAGCGATTCATTTTTTTAAAGGAGTCTGACTTAGAAATCCCCATTAACTCATTTAGCATTTATCAAACACCTGCAATGTAAAAGGTACTCTGTAGGTGCCGGAGATTAAAGGAGTATTTAGAAAGAAAGATACCCATGGGATCCTACAGCCTAACAGAAATTTAGTGCCAATCAAGTTTGGTGCTCTTTAGTTCCTAGTGAATTTTATACGGAATTTTGTTTGTGGCCTAGTGAACTGAGGGGTGGCTGAGAACCAAATGCCTTTGGAGAGATATTGCTTTATTTTTTTTCTGGAAAAAGAATATCAAGATTGAACTATCTCACTTCTTATCGTTGAATCAGTGTTGCCTACTCAATGTCCTCTCAATGTCCTATTCTTTTTTTTTTTTTTTAGTTTATTTTTATTTTTGAGAGAGAGACTGAGCATGAGCAGGGGAGGGGCAGAGAGAGGGAGACACAGAATCCGAAGCAGGCTCCAGGCTCTGAGCTGTCAGCACAGAGCCCGACGTGGGGCTCGAACTTACAAACATCATGACCTGAGCTGAAGTCGGCACTCAACCAACTGAGCCACGCAGGCACGCCCTCGATGTCCTACTCTCATGAATTCACAAAAAGGAGTAGAAAAATTAGCGTAAAGATGGAAGCGAAGCCCAGGGGAGATATAGAGAACAGTGTTTCTGAAACTGACACCTGGGAGTGCCTGTGTCACAGTCTCCTGAAGGCTGCACTTTAATTTTTGTTAATGTTTATTTTATTTTTGAGAGAGAGACAGACAGACAGAGCACGAGCAAGGGAAGGGCAGAGAGAGAGAGAGAAGGAGATACGGAATCCAAAGCAGGCCCCAGGCTCTGAGCTGTCAGCACAGAGCCTGACACGGGGCTCAAACTCACCAACTGTGAGATCATGACCTGAGCCTAAGTCGGGCACCACCCAGACGCCCAACCTGTACTTTTATTGCAGATTCCCAGGCCCTCCAGACTGCTTAAATCTGAGTATTGGTGGTAAAGCTTGAGTCTTCATTTTTAAAAAGCTCCCCCTGGCGAGTCTTGTGATACTGATGTCAGAGAGCACTGACCTAGGCACATGGGGAAAGTCACCAGGACGAGATGAACTACTTCAAAGCGTGATGAAGGGCCCTCACAGGTGTTGCCTGTAAGAAGTTTCTACATATGTAGAGAAGACAGGTGATGGGTAAATAGAGCTCCGGTTTCAAAAACGAGAAAAGAGCAAGTTGCCAGAAACCATAGCTTCATAAGCCTGACATGACCTTTGAAAACATTTTATTCCAAACAGATGGAGTCAAAGCATTTGGAGGAAAATGTGATGAACCTCAGGCGACATCATGGGTTTGCTAAAACATCGTCTCTGTTAAAGACTGTCAAACTTGGCTGCACATTACAGTCATCTGGGGAGTTTAAAAGTCTCTTGATGCCCAGCCCCCACCCAGTACCAATTACATCAGAATCTCTGGGGATGGGACCCAGGCATCAGTATTCCTTAAACGCCCAGAGATTCTGATTTAATGTGGTGCCGTCTGCGCATTGGGAGTTTTAAACGCTCCCCAGGCGACGGTAATATGCAACAGAGTTTGATAACCAATTTGTCTGTATGACATCAAGCAAGTTGCTTGACTTCCTTGCACTTTGTGTAAATCCTAGGTAATTTTGGAGGTCTCTCCCACGTTTAAACTTCTATGATTTTGTTATTTAAAACCATGCCAAACTGATTTCCTCCTCCTCCCATTTTCTTCTTCTGGGGCTGGTATAGCCCGGAATGTCAAGGTGTCAAAGTCTATACCTTCATTTCATGAAAATTTGTCAAGGTGTCAAAGTCTATACCTTCATTTCATGAAAATTTGTAGCAAAATTTCCCAGGATGCCTCATAGATAAATAAGGTGAGAGTTGTGATGGGTGGATTTACCACCTGACTGAACAGATATGTTCAGAGTGTGAATGTAATGGATCTGCGGGAACCCTGGAGAGTGGGTTGGGGTGGAATACCACAGGGCTGTTGTGCCCTTGGAGCTGACCTCGTTAACATTTTTTATCCATGATGTAGGTAAGAAAGATAGGAAGAAGTGCCTATCAAATTTGGAGATAACCCAAAGTCTAGGAGGATTAACTATGTCAGTACATAAAAGAATTAGGCCTAGCTCTGATCAGAAGATCTGTTTATTAAGGTTATTATTGTTTTAACAATATTTCCGTAATTCAGATATTTTGCTCATTTTTCTCTTTCTTTAGTTGAGGCAACATTTTGGAGCTTTTAGTGTACTGCTAATGGAAACATAGACATGCCTGGTAGGGTCCCAAGTCAGTTGTTCTTTGACTTTGTTCCCAGCAAGAAATGCAGATAGATTCCATCAGGCTGGTTTGGAGCAATACAAAATAAAGGCAGCATCACCCAAAACAGCCATGAGGAGGGATACGAAAATCCAGTTTGGCAGTTCCAGCTGATGGATGTGAGGATAGACCTGTGGGAAAGGGTGTCGCAGAAACACTTGGATGGCTTGTTTCAAAAGGGCACCCCCCCCCACCCCCCCCAGGGGCACCTGGCCAGCTCAGTAGGTAGAGCTAGCGACTTGACTCTTGATTTCTGGGATCATGAGTTCAAGCCTCACCCTGGGCATAGAGCTAACTTAAAAACAAGAAAAAGAAAGAAAAAAACCCACAAACATAAAAGGCACTCACTCTCCCTAATTCTGGCACCCTAGTTGGGGTGGGGGGAGGCCTTGAGCCTCTTTTTTTAAACAAGCTTTCCAAGTGGTTCTGAGAAGCAGTGTTGAGGAGCTCACTTTGATTTGAATTTTGGCATAGTTGTTTAAATATGTTGTTTTGTCTCATAGTCCGTCTCCAATCTGCGTTTTTAAAAGCCCAGATAGATTTAATTACGAGCTTAAAACTAAAACAGTTAATTTATATCAGCTCCTTCATATCCCATTCCCTGTACTTCAGTGAGAAAATTGTGCACTCTTACATTTCCGTTTCTCTTTCCATTTTCAATGCTTTACTTTATGTAGACCTTGATCTGACCTAGACAGGGGAAAAATATAATTTATGTGTAGCAGAAAAGCAATCTATAGTTGCTCTGGTGCTGCTGCTGTGTTTTGGAAAATGCACCAGGATTAGATTATGTCTGATCACTTTCCACATCACATGACGAACAGCAGTTGAGAAGAAGCATAAAATGAATCCTGCCGAGAAGCCCTTAGATACCTTGCTGTTAATGGGCGCTTCCCTCCCTCCCCCCTCCCTCCTGTGTCTTCCTCCTCAGGATCTAAGACTGAGGTGGATCGACTAGGAGTGGCTCCTCGCAGCATAAAGGGAGACACTTTACACTCTGTTTTGGAATGAGAAGTTAAATTCATGAGCACACATGATTTAGAAGACATGGGCTGTGGCACTTCATCTGCGACACAAGACAGGCAGCCTGAGAAAGGTGAGTGCCAGCGGGGGGTGCCTGTCTTCGGGAATGAACAGGGAGCCAGAGGGAGCCAGTTTCGCCCTCTCCCCTTTCCCGTTGAGTCACCTGCTCCCCCAGCTGCCCGCTGTGATTGTGCACAAGGCACCGTCCCTTAAGCTGAAGGTTAAATGTTGGCATAACGTGGGAAACTACCTTTAGGAAGATGTAGCTCTTGAGTTGATGATGTACCATAAAGTATTATCTAAGAGAGAGTTTATGTTTGATTTGATTTCAGCTGAAAAGGTACCAATATAAAATCTCAATTTAAAACTCAGTGTCAGGGAACAAAAAAAGTCCCTGTACATTTACTTCTGTTTATTTGTATGCTTATAAATTGCTCTATCCATACCTATGTGATGTTTTAGTAGCATCATTGACATTTTATTAGATTTTGTAACTCAATGATTGGATTATTTTTTATAGCTATTCAACACAGAACTTCATGAGATTTGCCCCCATGTTTTTAGAATATTCCAGGTAGAATTTGGGAAATGCAAGGTCATCTGCTTCCCCAAAAGTGTGTTGTTTCTAAATACATGACATGCCCCCCCCCCCCCGACTCCTATATAATTAGAGGCTTGAATATTTCCTTTGTTTATTTCACACTGAGGTTCTCATACCTGCCAGAGTCTAGTTGCAACTCACTTGAGTGTTTAAGGGACACAGTCTCCACGAGCAACTTAAAAACAAACAAACTGGGATGATTATGTGAATTATTCACTCTCACACTCCATTCCTTTGGTGTCTGGGTTATAGATGATTTCCCCAATTTCTATTCCACATCTTGCTTTTGGAAGTTTACTCAGGCTTAAGAGGGACAGTTTCTTAAGAGGGACCGCAGAGTATTCTATACTAATTAGTGTGTGATGTTTTCTCTTGGGAATCAAATGTTCTTCTGCTCCATGAGTTAGCAAAGCTGATCTCCCCCAGTAGGGAGATGTACTAACTCTTTCAAATCTGTAAATTTTTGAAAAGCTCCAACTGGGCTAATTCCATGGTAATAATTTACTATTAAGAGAGTAAAGTGAGTAATTATCTTTTTATATCTAGGATTATGCAGAGTTCTTTAAATTTAGCCAAATTTCTTAGGTTAAACAAACAAACAAAAAGGCCAAGCCAAACTTGTCACAGTAAATTCTCTCTTTTTGATATACTTCTCAACTTTTAAAATGTTGCAGGCAAATGGAAATATTACCTTAAATTTTTGGGTTGGTTTTTCTTTTAAATAAGTTACCAAAGTGAGATGCACATAACATCAAATTAATTATTTTAACTTTTTTTTTTTTTTTTTTTTTTACTTATTTCTGAGAGAGAGAGAGACAGCATGAGCAGGGGAGGGTCAGAGAGAGAGGGAGACACAGAATCTGAAACAGGCTCCAGGCTCTGAGCTAGCTGTCAGCACAGAGCCCGACGCAGGGCTCGAACCCACAAACCGTGAGATCATGACCTGAGCCGAAGTCGGCCGCCCAACCAACTGAGCCACCCAGGCGCTCCTAAAATTATTTTAAAGGGAACATTTCGTAGCACTGGGTACATTCACAAAGGCGTAACTGCCCTTCTCTCTGCTCCCAAACATTTCCATCACTCCAAAGCAAAACCCCTTCTCTATTAAGCAGTGTCTCCCCATTTCCCTCTCCTTTCAGCCTGGGCAATCACCAGTCTATACTCAGCCTCTGTGAATGTACCTGTTCTGGATATGTCACGTATACAATGTACCTTGTCACATATACAATGTACCTTCTGCCTCCTTTCGTTTAGCATCCAAGTTGTAGCATCTATCATCCTTCTTTCCTTTTTAAGGCTGAATAGTATTCCATGGTATGTTGAGACCACATTTTGTTTGTCCGTTCCTTTGTGGATGGGCATTTGGGTTGTTTCCACCTCTTTGGCTACTGTGAATAGTGCTGCTCTGAACATGAATGTATGTGTACTTGTTTGAGTCCCTGTTTTCAGTTCTTTCGGGGTGTATACCTAGAAGTCAAATTGCCAGGTCTTATGGTAATTCTGTGTGTAACTTTTTGAGGAAGTGTCAAGCTGTTTTCCTTGATTGCTTTTTAAAAATAGTAGTTTTAATGAGAAATCATTCACAGACACCACTTTAAAGTGTAGAATTCACTGGTTTTTAGTATGTTCACAGAGCTGTACAACCATCGCCACTATCAGTTTCAGAACATGCTCATAGCCTTTCCCCAAACCATTAGCGGTGCCTCCTCAGCCCCCTGTCTCCCCAGCTCTAGGCAGTCACTAATCTCCTTTCAGTCTTATAGATTTAGGCTCTTCTGCACATTTCATATAATGTAATCAGATCAGAGGGAGTCTTTTCTGTCTGACTTCTTTCATTCATCGTAATGTTTTCAAAGTTCATGCTGTAGCATGAATCAGAATTTCATTCCTTTTAATTGCTGAATAATATTCCACTGTAGGAATATGCACACTCATCCATTCGTCAGTTGACAAACATTTGGGTTGTTTCTATTTTTTTACATTATGAACAATGCTACCATGAGCACTTGTGTACAAGTTATAGTGTAAACAGATGTTTTCAGTGCTCGGTATACACCTAGGAACAGAATTGCTGGGTCATATGGTAGCTCAATGCTTAACATCTTGAGAAACTTCCACACTGTTTTTCCAAGTTGCCTACATCATTCTACATTTCCACCAGCAGCATATGATGGTTCCAATTTTTTTAACATCCTTTGCAGCACTTGTCTGTCCTTTTGATTATATCCATCCTAATGGGTATGAAATGGTAGTTCATTAGGGTCTTCATTTGCATTTCCCTAATGACTAATGGTATTGAGCATCCTGTCATGTGTTTATTAACCATTTGTAAAATGTCTTTTTTTAAAGTTTATTTATTTATTTATTTAGAGCTCATGAGCAAGGGAGGAGCAGAGAGAGAAGGAGAGAAAGAGACCCCCCAAGCACCTGATACAGGGCTTGAACTCACAAACCATGAGATCATGACCTGAGCTGAAGTCAAGAGTTGGATGCTTAACTGACTGAGCCACCCAGGCATCCCTATTAGCCATTTGTAGATCTGTGGAGAAATTCAGATCATTTGTCCAGTTTTAGTTGTGTTATTTGTTTTTACATTGTTTTGTTGTAAGAATTCTTTATATGATCCAGTTATAAGTTCTTTATCAAGTATATGATTTGCAAATGTTTTCTTTCATTTAGTGGGCTGTCTTCTCACTTTCTTGATGATATCCTTTGAAGCAGAAAGGTTTCTTAAATTTTGATGAAGTCCAATTTATTTTTTCTTTGGTTGCTTGTGCTTTTGGTATCATATCAAAGAATCCATTGCCAAAGCCAAGATTCTTTATGGTTATGTTTTCTTCTAAGAGTTTTATGTTTTTAGCTTTTACATTTAGGTTTTTGATAAACTTTGAGTTGATTTTTGTATATGGTATGAGATAGAGCTACAGATTTATTCTTTGCATATGGATATCCAGTTATCCCACCACCATTTGTTGAAAAGACTGTTCTTTCTCCATTGAATAGTCTTGGCACTCTTGTCAAAAATCAATTGACTGTAAATATGAGGGTTTATTTCTGCACTCTGAATTCTATTCCATTGATCTATATGTCTGTCCTTATGCCAGTACCACACTGCCTTGATTACTGTAGCTTTTACAGAAAGTTTTGAAATTGGGATTCTGAGTCCTTTACCTTTGTTTCTTTTTCAAGATTGTTTTGGCTTTCCAGGTCCCTTGTACTTCCATATGCATCTTAGAATCAATTTGTCAGTTTCTCAAAAGAAGCCATCTTGAAATGTTGGTGGGGTTTGCCTTGAATCTGTAGATCAATTTGGGGAGTATTGCCAGCTTAACAGTTAGATCATCTGATCCATGAACATGGAGTATCTTCCAATTTATTTAGGTCTTTAATTTCTTTCAATGGTGTTTATTGCATTCAGAATTTAGGTTTTACACTTCTTGTGTTAAATTTACCCCAAGTATCTTATTCTTTTGAATGCTACTGTAAAATGGAATTGTTTTCTTAATTTCATTTTTGGATTGTTCATTGCAGGTATATAGAAAAACAATTGCTTTTTGTTTGTTGATCTTGTATCCAAAACTTTGGTTGATTCCTTAGGATTTTCTATTTACAAACTGTGTCATCTGTTGATACAAATAGTTTTACTTCTTCCTTTCTATTCTATGCCTTGTGTTTCATTTTCTTGCGTAATTATTCTAATTAGACCCTCTCTTACTGTTGAATAGAAATTCATGAATGCACATCCCTGTCTTGTTCCTGATCATAGAGGAAAACATTCAGTCTTTCACCTTTAAGTATGGTATCAGCTGTGCCTTTCTCCAGGATGCTCTTTATCACATTGAGGAAGTTCACTCCTATTCCTAGTTTTTTGATTGTTTTTATTATTTTATTAAGACGTGGTGTGTAATTTTGTCAAATGCTTTACCTGCATCTTTTGAAATGATCATGTAGTTTTTGCCCTTTGTTTATGATACAGTATACATTAATGGAATTTCAGATATTGAACCAATTTTGCATTCCTGAGATAAATCCCACTTTGTCATGGTGTATAATATTTTTTGTATATTGCTGGATTCCATTTGCTAGTGTTTTGTTTATGATTTCTGCATCTATATTCATAAAAGATATTGGTCTATAGTTTTCTCTTCCTGTGGTGTCTTTGTGTGGTTTTGATAGCAGGACAATACTAGCCTCATAGAATGAGCGGCAAAGTCTTTCTTCTCTTCCATCTTTTGGAAGAGTTTGTAAAAAATTGATATTAATTCCTTAAATGTTTGCTGGAGGGGTGCCTGCATGGCTCAGTCAGTTAAGCATCTGACTCTTGATTTTAGCTCAGGTCATGATCCCAGGGCCATGGGATCAAGACCTGCATTTGGCTCTGTGTTGAGCATAGATTCTGCTTAAGATTCTCTCTCTCTCTCTCTCTCTCTCTCTCTCTCCCTCTCCCTCTCTCTCTCTCCCTCCCCCCGAAC